ACCTGCATCTCCTGAATAGCTGGGATTATAGGTGTGCACCACCACGACCTGGTCCTTTGTATGGTGCACACACACTGAGGCTCCATGAATACTTAATGGAGAAGGAATGGATGAAGGAAAGAGTGCATTGTCTGGAGGGAAAATAGCCAATGTGCATAGCTGCGCTCAGAACTCAATGTGTTTAAAGCCATTTGCACTAATTTCCACAAGGAACCTTCTTGGAACTCATCACAATGGTGCTCGTAATTTAATTAATGGGTACTATGCACTTGCCCTATAAGTAATTTACTATGTTCCACAAAGAATCCCTTTGGAATCAATTTCTTCACAGTTACAATCTAATTTGATGACATGCGATGCCTTTTCAGTATCGAGCTGTAAATCCTTATTCCGCAAATGTCTCTTGGTTATATTTTCCTTTCTTTCTGGAACACATGACCTCACACATGCGTGTTAAGAACTGCACCACTGAGCTACACCCCCAGCCCCTCCCGTGGTTATATCACATTCTTCATTTCAGTCCTACAAACCATGTCAGACTATTGTTTATTGCTTGCTATTTTGTTCCGGCTACTGTGGTAAGGTTGACAATATTTTCTACATTGATATAGTACCTTAAGATCAGTTGATTTTTACATATCTGTCTTTAGTCGATTACCCTTTTGCACTCTTACTGAGTTTCTTTTGATAGGATTGATTCTCTAGCTCTCTTCCTCTCTCATCTTATTTTTTGGTTTTGTTGTTTTAACATGATCTCAAAAAGCAAGACCCACAGGGGGTTGGCTGAGTGGCTCAAGTGGTAGAGTACCTCCCTTACAAGCGTGAGGCCCTGAGTTCACACTCCAGTAAGGAAAAAAAAAAAAAGCATGGGATCATATTACTGTTAGGATGCATCCTGGTTTTCTTCCACAATGGGTCAAAATCATTACATTTCCTTCTTTGTTTGTATGTTCTTCAAGCCAGTTAAACCATTGCTTCTCAAGGCTCAGTGGATATCTTCTTTGCTTTTAATTTTTGGTGGCGCTGGGGTTTGAACTCAGGGCCTCACGCTTGCTAGGCAGGTGCTCTACCACTTGAGCCACCCCGCCAGCCCAGTGTCTTTCCTGTCTCATTTGTGATCTCATGTTTATTACTCACTACTGCCCTTTGCTTTCATCCTCTGACTTCCCTGTCATTCCTCAAGTTCATGGGAAGCTTGTAATTCCCAAGACTGCTTTCTCCCTACTACCCCTGTCATGGCTTTCCGTTTCACCATTTGCAGGGATGATGCAATGATGCCAAGAATACCGGTCAGGGCTCTCAGAAATACAGCACCAATGTGACATACAGGGGGCATATAAGAAGAGACTTATCAAGGGTATTGGTTCACATGATTGTGGTAGCTGGTAGCAGTCACTTTATCATGTGCTCTTCCCTCAGTCTATTGCTGCCTTCCCCCACTATGGGGGGAGGGGATGACCCATTTCCAGGCTTATTTGTAGTTCCTGTGGGTTTATATATGATGCTGTGTTTCCTTCACCTTATAGTACCATTCCTCCCTCAGCAAGCCCAACACTTCCCCAGTCAGGCTGCATGGGGCTGGCCTTAGTGATTGGTCTGGCAGACAGGGGGGATTTGATGCATTGTCTCGTAGAGTACCCACCTCATGGGAAGCACCTGCAGAGACTTTTGTGGTGGTGGCACTGTCCTCTAGCAGATGGGATTGGGCTACTTTTGTGGACCTCAAAGGGTTCAGAGAGGTCTGAAATCCAGTTGACGTTAGATTCTCATCCCTAGTCTTGGGGCTCATCTCTTCCTTATCACAGCCATGATTCTGATGCTGGAGGCTGAATGTGGCTGGAACTTACTCTTTCTGCAACTTCTGTTCCTTTTAAACTGAGTCTTGAGCCTGGTCCTTGGGGCTGCTCATGCTCTGAATGCAGGTGACAATGGTTAGAATGGGCAGCTTTGCACAATCTTTGAACTTCACACTTTGCTCTATATGGAGACAGGCCTAAGCTTGTCACTTTTCCTGTTTAAAAACATCCATGGCTAAGCTGGTGTGGTAGGGCGTACCTTTAATCCCAGCACTCTGGGAGGCTGAGACAGGAGGATTACAAGTTCCAGACCAGCCTGGACTACATAATGAGACAAGACAAAACAAAACAAAATCCATGGCTGATGGGAACACAGCTCAGTGGTAGAGTACTTCCCTAGCACACGAAAGGCTGGGCTGGATCCTCAGCATTTCAAACAACAAAACAAAACAAGAACAAGACTCCCCCCAACCAACCAAAACCAAACACAAAAAAACCCTTCAAACACCAGAGAGAACGAATAAGCCAAACATTCCCTTTTCCGCTGGTCAGCCATAGCTCCCTTCAGGTAGAGCCTGACATGTTTATACACCTATCATATCCTCCCATTACCTGGAATTCTATCTTTATATTCTTCGTGGAATAATTCCTGGTGCCCAATCCCTTAAGTCAAGCTTCCTAGAAGTGGGCTTGAGACAGAATTAGGCACTCAAGATATATTTAAGGAGGATTCTGGAGAGAAAAGTTATGTAAGGTGAGGGTAGGGGAGAGTCAAAAAAGGCTATACTCTCAGTGGGAGATGAGTCTCCCTTTGGCTAAAATCAGCACTCAGAAGGGAGCAGCTGTGAGTTTTTATGTGCCATCACTCATAGAAGGTGGATACCTTGATGGGGTTAGTTAACAGCAACCCCTGAAGGATTCCTAGATGTCTGTGGAGGGCCTCAGAAAAACTGACTTCATCTTTGACTTCTAAGCTCTTTGATAGCCTGGACTTGGGGGTGGGTGGAGATGTGTTGGTAAGGGAGACCGCTAAGTAACTTCTTAGGTCCCGCAGCTTGTAAGAACAGCTGCAAAGTGAAATCTGTAAACAAAAGTCACTTTGGATTAAACTCTGATCTAGAGATAAGTTTCTGGGAGAAGTTTGCTAACAACTATTTCAGCCAAAGACTCAGCTCTTTGAAGACCTGGGACTTACTTCTTCAGATTCTTTGTAACTTCTCCATTTAGGTTGTTAGTTTGCTAGATAAGTGGCAATGAAACTCTTTTAAGTAAAAAGGATTCTCTCTTTGCTTTGAGATCACAGAGGGAGTGGGAATATTTTCCCCTCCAAGAGCGTGGGTAGAAAACTCCAAGGGACCATGTTTAAAAAATAAAATAGCCAGGCATGGTGGCACACTCTAGGCATGGTGGACCACACAGGAGTGCGGAGATAGGAGAATATCCTAGTTCCAGGCCAGCCCTAGCAAAGCTCCAGACCTTGTTAAAAAACAAAGAAAGAAAGAAAAGGACTGAGTGCATAGTGCAAGTGGTAGAGTGCGTGCTAATGAGGCCCTGAGTTCAAACTCAGCCATGCCCAAACCAAAACCAAACCCTTCTCCTATCCAAGTTACTCTGCAAAGATTTAAGGAAATGACTTAAGGGATAATTTATAATACACTGTGCATAAAATGAAATCAGAAGCTAAACTTCTAAGGTGAATTCTAAGCAAAGCATTTTGAAATACAAAATGCTAGACTCGAGGTTGTAGTTTGCTCAGGCGAATTCACAAAGCTCAGGTGTGAATAGCAAGGATTTAGTTCTTCAGTTCCTTAGCACTTGGATTTAAGTCATCTGAAAGTCATTTGCAAAAGGCAAGAAAATTATCTGTGCTTCTGTTTTCAAAAATCTAATCATGTTAAAGGGCTATGAAGGTGAAATACCAAAACCTCCCCCTTCCTTGGGAAGAAAGTTGTAACGTTAACCTTGAAAGTGGATGCTGAATTCTGCAGAATGGGAATTCACCTTTTGATCCCTTTTGTTTACTTCCAGTCCTTCAGCCTTCTGCCCCGAATGCACAAATGGTATTTTACAGGCAACCTAGAGGAGAAGTAAGATTAGGACTCTCGATTGCTGGGTGGAAATAAAGAAAAGCTTCCCCATCAGCAGAGGAAAGGGGGACAGGGTGCCGGGTTTGTAGGAGAGCCTGTTATGGCTGTAACACATTAGAGAAAAGGAAATTTGGCGACTTTTTTTTTTCCCTTTAATTTTTTGCAGTACTTTTTTTTTTTTTTTTAAGGTCTTGCTCCGTAGTAGTAGAGGCTAGCCTCAAACTCTCAATCCTTCTGCTTCAGCCTCCCCAGTGCTGGGAAATGCTAGGCTAAGAAATGCAGGCTTTTTTATGGGCCAAGGAAAACTGAGGAGGGGAATCAAATTCTTTGGTCTGTGGCTTTTTTTTTTTTTTTCCTTTTGGTGGGACTGGGGTTTGAACTTAGGACTTCAAGCTTGCAAGTCAGGCGTTTTATTGCTTGAGCTACACCTCCAGTCCATTTTGTTCTGGTTATTTTGGAGATGGGTTCTTGTGAAGTATTTATCTGGGCTGGCTTCGAACCTTGATCCTTCTGATCTCCACCTCCCAAGTAGCTAGGATTACAGGCATGAGCCACAGAGCACCTGGCTGGCCTATGGTTTTGAAAGACAACCCTGGCCACAGTATGAATGTCTATCAAACAGGAAGGAGTCTGTTGGAATGGACGTGGTGAGAGAGGAAAAGATGACTAGGACGGGATCAGAACCACAGGACCCATGGTGGCTTAGGTGGAGTGACTTGGTGTAAGGAGCGGGATCATGGTGGGGGTGGGGAGAGAAGGAAGACTCGGGTCCTTAATCAAAGCAGGCAGGAGATGCAACAGGCAGGAGGCGAGTCATGGTGAAAGTGATGCAACCACGACCTAGCTCTGCTCAACCTCGCGGTCAGACGTCCAATTAAGTGATCACAAGTATGAGTCCCCAAAGATGGCAGATCGCTAGGATTTGAAGTGAAATCTTGATGGACTGGGCCGGAGTCTGTTCTTTTTTGGAGTCGGATTTAAGATTATCCTTTTCTTGCAAGAGTGTGCAGCTTGATGGAGAGCGGGCCCCATCACAGTGGGTCTCGCAGGCCTAGACCGCGGGGCCAAGGATCGTGCACAGCACTTGCAAAGGGCGAAGCACTCGAAGAAGGTGTTCCGCCCGAGGGGGATGGAGCGAGCGCCGAGCCGGGTCAGGTAAGCTCCCGCCTCCTTCCCTCCCGCCACAGGCCAGCGTGGGGAACCGCCGAGCGTCCTCACTCGTTGAGGCCGCAACTGGCCCGGCCACCCTTTTAGCCGGCGCGGCCCGCCGGGGGCTGGCGCGGCCCCTAGCCCGCCGCCCCCTCCGCAACCGCGGACCGCCCAGGACCTCGCCGTGCCGGGGGCAGAGCCGTCGTCGCCCGGCCGGGCCAAGCCAGGCCAGGCCGCTGAGCAGGGGGCGGCGGCCGCGGACAGACCGGCGGGCGAGCGGGCGCCGGCAGCGCGGGGCTGCGCGGAGAGGCCGGACCCCCCCGGTTGCCATGGACACTGCGTTCCCACCCCCCACCGGCCCCAGCCCGCCCCCTAGTCTCGTGGGCCGGACGGGCTAAGCGGGCAGCTCCGGGGCGGCCCGGCCGGCGCGGGGCTGCCGGGGTGGGCGTGTGCCGGCCGCAATCGCGGAGCCGGCGTCCCCGGCCCGCCACCCCCCGCGTGGCTGCCACCTCCCGCCCCCGGGAGCCCCCCGGAGCTCCGGGCTCGCCTCCCCGCCCCACCCCGGCCCTAACCGGGACAAACTTTCAAACCCGGTCGCCCCCTTTTCCCTCCGCGCGGGGCTGTCCACCTGGCTCCTCCGCACAGGGTCCCCACGCCCGGCAAGAGGAGGAGCCAGGCGGCGTGTCCCCTAAAGCATGTGTGCCTGCCTCCCTGAGTCTCTTTTTTATCTTTGGGGCTGGAGGAACCCAACTTACCTGGGAAAAGGGGAGGAGGAGAGGAGGATGTGTGTGGTGGTGGGAGAAGAGATGGGTTTCAGATGTTCGAAATGAAAATTTGACGGGACCTAAGTTTTACTCTATGACTTTAAGCCCTATAATGAGTGCAATGGAGAGTCTTTTTTTTTTTTTTTTTGAATAGGTCTTTTATATTCGCGGAGGTCTTAGCGCTTAATTGTTTATAGCCAAACATGTTGGATTTCACAGTTAACTACAGTCAAGTAGCAGTAAAAGTGTTTTGGAAAACTGTTTCACGAACGCCTCTTTTTCCAAAGGAACTACCCGAGTGTAGGTTTTCATAACATGTTTGTGGAGCCTAATGGTTTTTTTTTTCCCCGAAGAGTTTTACGTTTTAAGCATAATTCTCTTCCTCCTGTTATGATTCAAAGTGTATAGGGTCATGAATAATCAGTTTCACCTATTTGTTTTTACTTAGGGTCACTTTCACTTTCTTTTCTGTGCTCATTGAATCAAGCTGCAAGTATTTGGTCTGTAAAGGTGTAAGGTGCTAATCATTTGGTTTGCTTTACTATAATTAAAATCAGTGCTGTCTTTTTAAAGCTGTGTGTGTCTTAAAACGGAAATGCTACAAGAACCTGGATTACATTGTTTATGAAGTATAGAGTAACAGTCTCTTTTTTAATGTGCTGATGTTACTACTTCAGTGTATATGGAGTGCCACAATGTTTAAATAGTGGTGCTATTCTTTAAAAAAAAAAAAAAATACATAGCTAACATTTGGTCACCACAAGGGAGCCATAAGGGACTGGAACTTTTAAGGTTTTTGAGTAAAAGATTTTACTTACTGCAAAATATCTTAGTTTCCCACATGCATGCAACTTCCAATCATGTGTGTCCCTTTGTTTTTAAACGTGCTCTTGTAAGTTTGTAGATCATTAGAAGGCCTTAAGAGAAATGTTAAACTTTTCATTGAAGTGGTTGGTTAAAAGCCCTGGTGTTTGTAACAGTAATATTTAGAAGCTTTCCTGAGAGTCAGGAACATGTACCTGTAGGAATCCTAAGTTCTACACAATGTAGTTTGGCTTCAAGAAAGGTTATTTCTGTAGCCAATGGAGTGTAGTTTTTGTTACCTGATGGTTTTAGGTAAGTTTATTGACTGAATAGATAAATGAAGAAGAATGGATGGATTCAGTTGTGTTTTTCTTTTCTTTCTTTCATTTAAGAGCTTCCCCCTCCCCCTGCCTTTTACTAGAGCAGTCCTCCCCCAACTCCCGTACTGGGGTTTGAACTCAGGGCCTCAAGCTTGCTAGGTAGGTGTTCTACCCCTTAAGCCATGCTCCCAGCTCATTATTTGGTCATTTGTTAATCCCAAGAAAATCAAAGTTTTTGCTGCTATTTAATATAACTACGGCTGGGTTAACCTTTTCTTATTACTCAATTTTGGCCTTTTTCCTCCCTACCTCCCCTTTTTTTCTTACTCTTGTCCCCACACTTTTTCATAGTTTTGTTTTGTTTTGTTTTTTGCCCGTGATATGAGAAAAGTGTAAACTTTATTTGGATAATAGGCTCAGGTTTTCTTCTGAGTGGTCATGTGTCTTCAACTGATTGAAATTTAGTTCAATAATATCTAATTAACATTTTCCTTTCTATTTCTGCTTCTGCATCCCAAAACTTTAGGTTGTACTCTTTGGGTGAATTGATTGAGGCTTTTTAAAAACCTTTTTTTTTTTTTTGTGGTATTGGAGTTTGAACTTGGCCTTACATTTGCTAGGCAGGTGCTCTACCACTTAATGCTGCTCTGTCAGCCCTGTTTTGTGTTGGCTATTTTTGAGATAGGGTCTTGAGAACTATTTGCCCTAGGCTGGCTTCGAACCTTGATCCTCTTGATCTCTGTCTCCTGAGTAGCTGGGATTACAGGCATGAGCCACCAGTGCCTGGCTTAAAAAACAACCTTGGGTGAACAGCAAGTGCATGTAAACATTTGTTTATTAAGGTGGCACTTATGTACATGGGTATTTTATTACCTCCGTATTTCACAGTAGTTCATATTTAAACATTTTTGCAGGCAGTTTCTACTTCAGAGTTTTTATAGGTTTAAGTGAGATGTTGTCTAATTGCTCAACACAAGCTGGTGCTAAAAGCAAACACTAGTTACTTCCTGTTTGCAGAGTTTGTTCATTCATTGGTTGATGCTTTCTCTGCACCAGGCCAGGGGCTGTAACTTAGAACTTGATGGAGAGTTCTAAGTGAGTGAAGTAGCTGTGGTGTAAATGCTGGCTCATTGCCATGGGCATCGTTATGGGGAGGGGTTTTTAGGATGGGATTCTAACCCAGTCTTGGGGGAAAGAGTTGTCAAAGAAAGTGTTCAGAGGAAATGAATTATAAACTGAAAAGTTAGATTGGTCTGAGGTGGAACCGGAGCAGAGTCCAGAGAGCAGGACTAAATGTGAACTCAGTGTGGTGAGACCAGCCCATTGGGAGTGTTAGTGTTGGGGGGCTAGGACAGGATGCTGGAGGTGGGCAGTAGGGAGTGACGTCTACATTGGCTGCCTTTGAGACATTTCCCAAAGTACTCTGGTTGAGTGGTGTAGCTAGAGGGAACCCCAGTTGGGTTTGTGGTCCTGGTTCCTAGTTCTAAATGCTGACTAGTTTGAGTTACAGTTGCTCCGTTCTACAGACCCTGTGGATTCTGTCTGATTTTGCATAGGTTCATTATGAAAATTAAGCAAGTTAATGTATGTGCAACAATTAATTCGGTACTGTCACATGGAAAAGCTCAACTAGTGGATTTAAAGCCAGGGAGAAAATGACAGTGGCATGCTGTACTAACTCATTTGTGTCTGAGTTTGATGTTACTGAAGTTACAGGTTTTGTTTAAAAAAGTCATAGCACCACATTAATGAATCTCTTCAGAAACCTCATGCTTGCTAGGCAGTTGCTCTACCACTTAGCCACTCTGCCAGCCCAGTATTGTTGTTTTATATTTTGGATGATTTGTTGGAAAATAATTTAAAATAGCTAGAAAAAATTCTAAGATGTAATGGTCCAAGTAGATTACTTTTCTCATCCTGTGAAACAAATGTCTGCTTTCATCTTTTGCAGAGTTGAACAATGACCATAGTTGACAAAGCTGAATCTTCAGGCCCGTCGACCTATCAGAACCAGCCTGGCAGTTCTGAGGCGGTCTCACCTGGAGACATGGACACAGGCTCTGCCAGCTGGGGTGCTGTGTCTTCATTAAATGATGTTCCAAACCACACACTCTCTTTAGGACCAGTACCTGGTGCTGTAGTTTATTCGAGTTCATCTGTACCTGACAAATCAAAAGCCATCACCACAAAAGGATCAAGGTATTGTTTGAAAAATAATCACCCAGAAGCTCCCGAAGAAAGGCTGTCGGGAGTGGTAGTTTCAGACTGGGGCTTGTTTTACAGGACATATGGCCACCTGAGTGACCAGTACTGCTTGATGGGTTTTGTTTGTTATTGTCACACATCACAACAGGGCAGATTACTTTTAGACCCCAAGGTATGAGTAGTTTGTTTTAGTCCTAATTTTTTGAAGGATGAGCTTCATTTTGGAGAGAATCAAGGTAAGTAGGACATTTTAATTAACCAGTAGCTACTGTACTTCCCTAAGTAGGTATGTGTCTTGGTTAGTTTTTTTTTTTTGGTTTTTTTCTTTTTTGTGGTACTGAAATTTTGAACTCAGGGCTTCACACTTGCTAGGCAGGTACTCCACCACTTGAGCCACTCCGCCAGCCCTGCCTTTGTAAATTTTAAAGATTTAAAAAGAAATTCTTGCCTAGTATTTTACAAAATGCTCTACCTAGCTTTATTTTTGGTCACTTAAAAATCATCTGTAGTGACAAAACTCTTTGAAAGAGAGCAGATAATATAAATGTTACATTTGTTAAAATTCATCAGGTAAGTGAGACACTGACACCTTTAGTCGGCACTTGTAAGACTTTTGGATTTGAAGACTTGAAGCTTTGAAATGAAAAGACTGGTAGTAGAGTTAGTTCCCACTCAGGATGTTGTTTGCTCGTAACCATCTGAACCTTCTGCTGTTTTGATTTGTCTTAGTCTGATACTGTGATGAGAGTGAGTAGTATAGCCTTTTAGAGAAAAGTTTATGCTACCAAACACAGACAACTTAATTGAATGTTACACATGGAGGGTTAAGGTCCTTTGACTCCTTCCCCAGCAGACATCTTTGCAAGGCTGCAGCCTCCTGTCTTTTTTGGGACCCTCATCCTCCCTCTCCCCCCAGGACGTAGTCACACCTCCCTGCTCTGCCTGCTCTCTACAGCCTTATCTCACTCTTTCTGTTTTGCTGTCCTGCCAAGTCAAAGCCTGCCTTTTTGCATACTTAGTAGTCACTAATTTCTCTGTTCAAACAGACCGTCTGTAGGGTAGACTAGCCATGCTTTGAAAAATTACCTTGCTGTTGCTGATTTTGGCTTTCCCTAAGTAAGTTGTTTCTTGAACTTCACCTGAGCTCTATCAGCATGCTTAGTGATTGGTAGTAGAAGCCTTAACAATAGCTATAAACTTTCAAAGGGCACATGTTGTGTGCTTACAGGTGTGCACAGTGATGCCAAACCGCCCTTAGAGAAATGGGACAGCGTCAGTATCAGCCATTATGTTGGAGACCATGTGACCCCAGGGAGGACGGAGGTGGTGCTGAGTGCAAGTGTCCTCAGCAACAGGTGTTACAGGGAATCCACCTGTGTTTTCTACTGATTTAAAGAGTTTATTGTGGGAAATTCTAAGTATCGATGAAAGGAATTACAGTGAACTCTCATGTAGCCATCAGCCAATCTTGACTTACCAACTCATGGACATACATGCACACAAATGTGTATACATACTTGAAATTTATATGTATAGATACACACACATATATGCTTAATAAATTTATTTTTTTCTTAGTTTTCATGTTTTTATGGTGTGGGGATAGAACCCAGGGCCTGGTGCCTGCTAGGCAAATGCTCTACCACTGTGCCACACCCCCCAATCCTTCCTCAGCATTTTAAAGCAAGTCCAGTACCTCATATTTCATCTACAGATATTTTACTGTGTGTATCTAGAATTCTTTTCTCAAAATTAAATATGTCTTTATATTAAAAATCTAGTCTAAACCAGGTGTTGGTGGCTTACGCCTGTAATCCTCGTTACTCAGGAGGCAGAGATCAAGAAGATCGAGGTTCAGAGCCAGCCTGAGCAAATAGTTTTCAAGACCCTATCTCGAAAAAAACCAGGTTAAGGCCCTGACTTCAAACCCCAGTACTGCAAAACAAAACCAAACCATTCTATTGAAATTTCCCTGGTTGTCGTGTATATGTTTTTCAGTAGTTGGTCATAGAAAGCAACATCCAAATGAGGTCTACACTTTGCATTTTCTTAAGGTTCCTTTAAATTATATCCCTTCCCCATTATCATCCTTGCAAATTATTTATTGAAATGAAATCATTTGGTCCTCACATTGAGGGTTTTGTTTCATCTTTAAAAATGTCTTTCCCTTGTACTTCTGGCAAGCTGGAATCTTAGATTGAGGTTGATCAAGTATTGCTGGTTATTTCACTGCAGAAGCCTACAAAGCTTTGTTTTTAAGTCTTTGCTGTTTATTTTCTAGCCCTAGGTGATGGCATTGCTCCCCCACAGAAGGTTCTTTTCCCATCTGAGAAGATTTGTCTTAAGTGGCAACAAACTCACAGAGTTGGCGCTGGGCTCCAGAATTTGGGTAACACCTGTTTTGCCAATGCAGCGTTGCAGTGTTTAACTTACACGCCACCTCTCGCCAACTACATGTTATCACATGAGCACTCCAAGACATGTAAGTGCTCTGTGCCATGTATGTTTGTAGTGTTGTGCTATGCTAACCTACTTTATTTTTTTTCTCTGAAAGTGAAGCATTAAGTCGAGAGTTGTGTGATCACAAAAAGTTGGTTTACTCTTTTAGAAACCAAGGAGGACTTTTAGGATTTGTATTCAGGTAGCATAAGAAGCATTTTGCACCTAATTTGACCTATGAGATTATTTAAAAAGAAAGCTGTTTTATCGGCATTTGGCATCTCAGAGCCCCCTGCTGGTTTTGTACACTTGTTTAAAAAGGCTATACACTGTCCAATGTGAACACCTCAGGCCAAGCAGAGTTCACAAGGACTGCCTCCCTGGCAGTCACCTTGTTTGAAGGCTCTGTTCATCCTCAGCCTGTAAGGCCTCGGGGAGAGGAACACTTGCTGCTGCCTCCAACCTTCCAAACTCACATAGATCTTTTCCTTCAGCATTCGAGAGCTCTGCCTTCAACTCATAGGGCAGAACATCATCTAACACACATAAGGGTCTTTGGGTGAAAGCCAACTCAGTGCTGATTAGTGAAATTCAGAATTGTAAATGCCCATTTTTGAGGCTTTGGCCTTCTTCCTGTATTGTGAGTACCATAGTCCTTTATTAACGCAGCGCCAGTTCTTTGACCTGAGTTTGTGCTCGGGTCTGCGCTCTCCATTGCTGGTGGGGAGGAGAACAGCAACACTTTGGTTTCTTTTGGAATAGTTCTTTACTTAACGTAGAATTTAAAGTGGGTCTTTTAAAACTGTTTTTCCCTTCAAAGATAAAGTAATGCTTGAAAAAAATTTGGAAAGTACATGAAGATTGAAAGAAAAATCACCTGGAGCCTGGCCACCCAGTGCTATTTGTTATGCCAGAGGACTTTAAGTTGTAGAACGTCGTTTGCCCTCAGTTTCTCCCTTTCTAAGCCCATAATTCATTACCCTCCGGCAGCTTTCCTATCACCTTTGCACTTAATGAAAGTAGGGTGTGGATGAGAACCCAGCACTGGCACCTGGACAGCAAGAGGGGACCAAGACAGATTCAGAAGCTCCCAGAATTACGTGCCTACCTTTTGTGCTATTGGGAGTCTCCTCCCTCTCCCTCCCCCACTTCCTCACCTTTCTCTTAAGCTTTCTGGAGGTATAATTGATGTACAGTAAACCACACATACTTGAAATGCTCAGATTCAATTTGATGCACTTTGACATTTTTATATCCATGAGATGCTCACCCCAGTTAAGATGAACATGCTCATCACCCCAAAAGTTCCCCAGTGGTCCTTTGCTATCACCTCTTCCTCTGTCTCCCTTTCCCCTCACTTTCTTCACAGAGAATGCGTTCTCTGTCAGTATACATTAGTTTGCATTTTCTGGAATGGTAAATGTGTATCAGTATATATTCTTATGTCATCTTGAGTCACTGCATAATTATTCCGACATTACTCTGTCTGTAACAGGCATTAGTGTTTGGTTTTTATTGCAGAGTAATATTCCATTGTTTGCATATACCACAGTTGTTTCTCCATTAACCTATTGATGGGCATTTGGGTACTTTATCTTTGGAGGCTGCCACGAAGTATGCTGCCCAAACACTTGCAAACAAGTCTTTGTAAATACATTTTCCATTTCTCATGGGCAAATAATCTTAAGGGTAAAATGCTTGATCCTATGGTAGGCATGTACTTTTGAAAATAAGCTTGAAAAACTGCTTTCCAAAGGGATTGTGACATTTTGCATTCCCGCCAGCAGTGAATTGAACTTCTGTTTGCTCCATAATTGTCCCAGTACTTCCCGTGAGCAATTTTTTCAATTTTAACCATTTTCAGAGGTATGTGGTAACAGTGGTATCTTTTTGTGATTCTTAATTTGTGTTTTCCTAATTAATAATAATGTTGAACATCTTCAGTCATTATTTCCATTTTGTATATTTGTTTTGCTGAAATGCCTGTTCAGATCTTTTGTCTATTTAATAACTGGGTAGTGCCAGTGCTCACACCTATAATCCCAGCTACTCAGGAGGCAGAGATCAGGAGGATCGAAGTTTGAAGCCAGCCCAGGCAAACAGTTCCTGAGACCCTTTCACGAAAAAGGGCTGGTGGAGTAGTTCAAACCCCAGTGCCACCTCTTCCCCAAAATAAGTTTTGAAAATGGAGTGGTTTTCTTATTGTTGCATTTTGAAACTTCTTTATATATTCTGGACATACATCCTTTATCAGACTTAGGTTTTCAAGTATTTTCTCCTTGTCTGGAACTTGTCTTTTCATTCTACTTGGTTTCCTTCCTTTCTCCCTTCCTTTTTTTCCTCCTTTTCTTCCTCCCTCCCTCCTTCCTTTCCCAGGGTCCTCTTATGTAGCCCAGGTCAGCCTCAAATTTGTGATTTTCCTGCCTCAGCCTCCTGGGTGGTAAGCTATGGCTGTGTGCCACTGTGCCTGGCTCCTCAGTGTCTTGAAGAGTGCCTTTCTTTCAAAACAGAAAATGTTCTACATAATTACTTTTTTTTTTTTTCCTTTTGTCACTTGTGTTTTAAGTGCTGTGTTAAAAAATCTTTAACTGATCAGAGGTCACAGAGGTTTTTTTCCATATTTTCTTCTAGATGTTTTATAGTTTGGGCTTTTATATTTGGGTCAGTGGTCCAGTTTTTGTTTGTTTGAAATGTGAAGATTGAGTAATTTTAACGAATGTTTCTGGGTCTGGCTGGGGATTGGACCTGCACTCCATCACTAAGCTCCAACAGCAGCGTGTGTTTTTGCATGTGCATGTCCAGTTTTTCTAGCACCATTTGTGAAAGGAGAAGAAGCCTTTCTCCACTGAATTGTCTTAGCACCTTTGTGAAAAATCTGTTGACCATGTGCATAGGGATGTATTTTGGACTATTCTGTAACATTGATCCTTTTTTTTATCTTGATGTCAGAACACAATGTCTTGATTACTGAGTATGTTTAAGTTTTGAAATCAGGTAAGTTCTCCAACTTCATTTGCCTTTTTAAGAAAATTCAATTTTTTATTTGGGGTTAATTATAGATTCACATGCAGTTGTAAGAAATAATTCATAAAGATCCCATGTACCCTTACTCAGTTTTTTCCACTGGTAACACTCAGTATCAAAACCAGGAAAGCAAGAAAAGACTTTTCCAATCTGCAGGATCCATCATGGTCCCTTTTACATAGGCAAGCTTATGTCTTGGGTGCCCCAACTCCTCTGAGGTCACCACTAATCTATTCAGTATTCCTATCATTTTGTCTTTTCAAGACTATGCACATTCACCTAGGTCGTTGCACGTATCAGCAGTTCTTCCATTGCTAAGCAAACTAGTGCTAAGACTAGTTTGTTTAACTATTTGTCACTAAAAACCAGCTAGGTTGTTTCTAGTTTGTGAATGCTACAAATAGAGCTGACATAAACCTTAGAGCATACAGCTTGTTCTGTGAATATAAGTCTTCATTTGTCTGGAATAAATGCCCTGGACTTGAGGGCGGTTGCACAAAGTATATCAGTGTCACTTTTCTGTTTCACACCTGCCAGCAACTTCTCTGCTTCTTCCCCAGCACTTGGCATTGTCAGCTATTTTTCGTTTTAGCCATACTGGTAGACAGTAGATATGTTAGGGAAGCTCACTGTTGTTTTAATTTGGATTTTCCTAATGCCTAAGAGTGTTGAATACTTACTTGCTGAGTATCTTTGGTGAAATGTCACTTTGTATCTTTTGCTCATTTTCTATCGTGTTCTTGGATTTTGTACTGTCAAGTCTTGAGAGTTCTTTATATACTGAATACTGCTTACATATTCTGATGTAGCCTAATAGATAATTCTAGACACCAGACTGTTGTTGGATAGTGGTTTCCACAGATTTTCTTCCAATCTGTAGCTTCTGTTTTTATCCCCTAAACTAGGTCTTTTGCAGATAAAAGTGTTTAACTTTGGTGAAGTTCAGTGTATCAGTTTTTCTTTGGCTTGTGCTTTTTTAATTTTTTTGTGCTGCTGGGCTTTGACTCACTCATTGGGCTTGCTAGGCAGTCACTTTACCACTTGAGCCATTCCCCAACCCTTTTTTTGCTTCAGTTGTTTTTTGGATAGGGTCTCAATTTTTTGCCCAGGGCTGACTTCAGTGATCTCATACCTTTGGTCCCATGTAGCTGGGAATATAGACATGCACCACCAAGCCCAGCGTATTGTTGAGAATGGGGTCTTGCTCACTTTTTGTCCAGGCTGGCTTTGACCTGCAATCCTCCCTATCTCTGCCTCTTGAGTCACTAGGATTGCAGGTGTGAACCACCATACCCACCCCTGTATTGTGCTTTTGTTATCAAGTGTACCATCTCTTTCTTAGCCCTCAGTCCTTATGATTTTCTCTGGTTTATTTTCTTACAAGTTTTGTTGTTTTACACTTTACATTTAGATCTGCGATTTGTTTTGAGTCAATTTTTGAATAAAGTGTGAGTTTTTAGCTGGGTGCCAATGGCTTACACCTGTAATCCCAGCTACTCAGGAGGATCAGGAGGGTCATGGTTCGAGCCCAGCCTGGGTAGATAGTTTGCAAGACCCTATTTAAAAATACCCAACACATAAAAGACTGGCAGAATGGCTTAAGTAGTAGAGCACCTGCCTAGCAAGCCCTGAGTTCAAACCCCAGTCCCTCAAAAAAAAAAAAAAGTGAGATTTAGCTCGAGGTTACTTTTTTTTTGGTGTGAGGGGGAGTCTGTTAATGTCCATTTCCTCCAGCATCTTTGGTTAGAAAGGCTGTCTTTTAGTCAGATGTGATGGTGCACATGTCATCGTAGCTCTCAGGAAGCTCAGGCAGGACAGTGAGTTCTAGGATCGCTTGGGCTACATAGTGGGATCCTGTCTCAAAAAGACAAACAAGAAAGCTGGGTTTCCTACATGGAATTGCTTTGTACCTTTGTACACAGTCACTTTGCCTGTTCCTGGGCTCCACGCTCTGCTGTTGATGGATGTGGTTGTCCCTCTGTGCCGTCCTTACTTCTGCAAGGCTGGACGCCAGGTGGG